AAAGCAGAGTGAAACTGTAAAAGCTTTGGAGGTCCAACTTTCTCAGTGTATCCAGGAGTTGGTATATGGAGAAAGATTATTCTGGAGCTTTAAGGTTTGATGTTGTCTTCCTGTTGGTGTTTTTATACCTTTTAGAATGAGAATGTCCTGTATGTATTCCACCATTTATTTTGGAAGTTGAAAACTTGTTTTAACGTCACAAATTACTAATGGAGGGAATTTGCCTGAGCATGATTCATTCTTTGAATCTCATCCAAATCTAGTTGAGGTGAAACTCTGGACTTTGAACTCTTGAGTTGGTGCAGGAACTTTTTTAAGACTTTTAGGGGATGTTAGGATGGAATGGATGTGTTTTGTGTGTGAGAAGAACATGAGTTTTAGGGAGATAAGGGACAAAAAGCTATGATTTAAATGTCCCCTCCAAAATTCATGTTGAAGTTTTATTGCTATTGTAATAGTATTAAGAGGTAGGGGGCCTTTAAGAAGTGATTAGGCCATTTAGGGCTCTGCTGTTGTGAATAGATAAATGCTGATTTTGTGGGAGTGGATTAGAGATCACAGTAGTAGATTCTTGATAAAAAAGGTTGTTTGCCTAGTTTCCTGTTTTTCCTGTGCTTGCTCACCTTTACCAGATGCTGGTGCCTGCTTTTGGACCTCCTAGCTTCTAGACTGAGCCAAATATACCTCTGTTTCTAATTTACCTCATCTGTGGTATTCTGTTTCAGTAGTAGATAATGCACTAACACATTTAGAAATGTCAACAATCAAGGAAGAAACAGATGAAATGGGACTTTTAAATAATTTGTTAGGGGAGGATGATTATAAATAAAAATATTTTGGTGACAGATGTTTGTTTCATTATGGTGTGCTTTATCATAGAATCTTCAGGTGTTTTATTAAAATAAGTCCTTATACTTTGTATTCCTAGAGTGAAGAAAAAAGACTGTTATGGGCAGAAAAATGAAAAGGGGAAAAATGTCATTCAATAATGTTAAAGCCACAATAACCTATTTTTCTTACCTATTTAAAACTAAACTAAATAGTGGGTCACAAAACACTTGAATTTGTGTTATCTATTAATAAGCTGTTCACGGATCTGGTTGAATGAATTGGAGTCACAGACATATACATTCTGTGTGTGTATGTGTGTGTGTGTGTGTGTGTGTGTGTGTATA